CAGCCTGGGGGTGGTGACCTTCTCCAGCAGCATCGCCTTCACCTTCGCCTCCTCCACCAGGTTGGGACATTCTTGCTGCCTTGGAGGAGGACAGACAGATGGACACCACAGCTTTCAACTCAAGGTACCTAAAAAATGGTGAGAGATGCAGCTGGGGGGGGGGGGGGGTGCAGCTCCTGGTGGGGGTCATGTCACCATGGGATGGGGCCACCACCAGGCACCGTCCCCTCCCAGGCACCATCCCCGGGGCTTTGCGGCGGCGGCACAGCCCTTCCAGCACAGTCCCCGCACCCACGTGAGTCACCATCCTCGTTCTCCACTACTCGGTGACCTTGACCATGGCCCTTGAAACTTCAGCTTCTCTCTCCACCCTTCCTCCGTGGACTATGAACCCTTCCAGGCCACAGCTATCTTTAGCAAGTATCGACGCAGCATCCAACCCAGCGAGATGTGGTTTTATCTGAGGTTTCTAGGCGTTACCGCAACAGGGACAACACGCTCCCCTTCTCCGAGATGTGTCAGCCCTCCCCGAGCAGCCCAGGATCGCATCCAGCCCCACAGCGAGCTCCAGCTGCAGTTACACACAGCTCCTCAGCTAACAAAAAATAATAATAAAAAAAATATTAAAAAATCACCCAAAGCAGAGCACGGAAATCCTCTGCCACCCCAGAGGGGGATCTGTGTGGATCTCCCCAGATAATCAAATTTAAACCACCACTAAAACAGACCTTTGATTAGTGGCCGTGGAGTCCATTCACCGCGACAGCGTGTCAGGTCAATGTTCACTCCCAAAATCAACTGTCTGCCTCGGGAAAGGGATTTTTTTTATTTTTATTTGATGGTCTGCATTTGAGGTCTAGTTAATAAACAGTGTACTTGGGTGTGCCATCTGGCCATAGAGCACGCCTGCAAATAACACTAATAATCGTCATATGGTGGTGCTTTAAAAGGCAGTTTCACAAAAGCCTGGGCAAGCTGATGGAAACCTCTCAGGCGTGTTTTGTGTGCCCCGAGAGCTCAGCCTTCAGGCAGTCCGCTTTGCAAATCAGCCGCTCTCAGAACGGGTCAAAGTCCAAAATTACGCTGCTGTTTTTACTCAGAGACTCATCCGAACAGCAGTCGCTTTTTTCTTAAGCCAGCGCACAGGAATGAACTTGTGCAAGTCAAGAGTTGGGCTGGTGCTTCAGAGAATAAGTACGTAAATAATACAGCTTACAGTATTTTTCATGTCAGCGGAACAGAAGCTGGTTGCTGGCGTTGGGCAACGCTTTGCGCGTCTCATCCCGAGCAGGGACCGACTGCCTGCGGGGCTGGAGGGACACGCACCACTCCTCCTGGGACTCAGCGGCAGGAGACAGCAAACCCGCAGCTCCAGCCCCAACGTTTCCAACACAAGAGCCAAAAATCTCATTCCCGGATTCACACGCACACATCTCCTCGCAATGCAGAAGAGACTGTCCCACCCGTCGGGACAGACCCCGCCGCAGGGATGCACCCTGGTACCCACATCCTACATCCTCTCCCGTGCCGCAGACAAGCGGGAGATGTGTCCAGCCCCGTGTTTCTGCCATCCACAGCTGCCCCACTTCAACACGATAAAACCAGGGGAGCATTTGCCCCGACGGATTCTGCATCCCGCTTCATTTTCCCACACTCATCGCTATGCACGAGGCTGCCCATCTCGCAGCCACGCTGATGCCCCCAGCCCTACAACACAGACAACTGACCTAATTTTCCTCTTTTTAAACACCCAGAGGTCACCTCCGTCTGCAGCAAACCCCACTGAGCAGGGAAGAGAAACAGAGAGAAATCTCTGCTAACATCAGTCCTCCTCCGCAAGTCTTCCTCCCAATTTTACTGCTTCTTCTGCCCATCCCATGCACAACTCCAGGCTGGGCATAGAACGGATGGAGAGCAGCCCTGAGAGGGATCCAGGGGTGCTGATTGATGAGAAGCTCAACATGAGCTGGCAATGTGCAATCGCAACCCAGAAAGCCACCCGTATCCCGGGCTGCATCAGCAGAAGTGTGGCCAGCAGGGCGAGGGAGGGGACTCTGCCCCTCTGCTCTACTCTGGGGAGACCCCACCTGGAGTACTGCCTCCAGCTCTGGAGCTCCCACCATAGGGAAGACATAGACCTGCTGGAGCAGGTCCAGAGGAGGGCCACAAAGATGATCCGAGGGCTGGAGCACCTCTGCTGGGAGGAGAGGCTGAGAGACTTGGGGGTGTTCAGCCTGGAGAAGAGAAGGTTCTGGGGAGACCTTATTGTGGCCTTCCAGTACCTAAAGGGCTACAGGAGAGCTGGGGAGGGACTTTTTCCAAGGGCATGTAGAGAGAGGAAGAGGGGGAATGGCTTCAAACTGGAAGGGGGGAGCTTTAGATTAGATATTAGGAAGAAATTTTTCACTCTGAGGGTGGCGCAGGTTGCCCCGAGAAGCTGTGGCTGCCCCATCCCTGGAGGTGTTCAAGGCCAGGTTGGACGGGGCTTGGAGCAAACTGGGCTGGTGGGAGGTGTCCCTGCCCAGGGCAGGGGGTGGGACTGGATAGTCTTCAAGGTCCCTTCCAACCTAAACCATTCTATGATTCTATGATTCTAAATGCCTGAGGCTCTGCACCTCCCACATCCCTCAAGGCTGTAAAATGGTGCTGAAGAGGAGAAGCTGGGGAGGTGCTCTGCCATTTCTGGGTCTCTACGTGTTGGGGTGGCGTGCGATGGCTCACTACGTGCGAGAACTCCACCTCGTTCTCCTTCACAACTCGGAGCATCTCACCTGCAGTTCCCAAGGGTGTTTCTTGGCTCGCTCCACACAGCGAGACGTCGGGAGACATCACCCATGTCCGTGCTCTGCCCGCTGCCTGGTGACTCAGAGCCGGGGCTCCCTCCCAGTTAACCCAGTTGCTCAAGCAGCACCTCCCTCCTCCCCCAGCCCTCAAAGATAAGGTTTGCCCCATCTGCCTTTCTGCCCAATTTGCCTTTCCAGCAGATCTGACCAAACTCAGATTTTCTAGCCTGTGGCAGACCCTGATGCTTCCAGGCACATCTTCCCATACCTAAAACAACCACTAAAAAACCAAGCGAAAAACTCTACACCCTCCACCCCCAAGAATCAGCTTTTTAAGTAAGAAGGTCACTCCAAAGCAATGCTCCAGTTGACTGAAGTTCTGATTTTTCACAGCTTATGCAAGCAGAAAAATGCAGCATTGAAACAAAGGGGAAGGACAACCACGGAGGGTTTGGGTGCTTGGAAAGAAAAAAAAAAAAAAAAAACCCGTAAAAAATAAATCAAAAACGCAGGTCCTTGA